GTGGGGTGGGGTGGGGTGGGGTGGGGTGGGGAGGGGAGGGGAGGGGAGGGGAGGGGAGGGGAGGGGAGGGGAGGGGAGAGGGAGGGGGTCACATTTCGTAACGTGCAAAGGTATCATCACTGAGGTGAGATTGGCTCGAGTTTCCCCGATAAGGCACATCAACATGTTGATCTGCACCGCATAATATCGGTCCCGCGCCCGGGAGCCTTCCCTTCTGTAATCCTCACTCATCCAGCGTCCCGTGCTTCGTCTTAGCCGTGCCTAAGGACTTGCCTTGTACATGTATCCTTTCTTTCCTGCCATGCATAATTATTTCTTTTCATTTTAAGGTTACTTTCCCCACTTCCCGTGTCCTGAGAAAATTCCGCCGCTTTTCTATTACTCGCTGCCGCCTTGCCTTGGTGCTTTCATGCGAGCCTTACGGACCCATCGCTACGCTAACCTACGTTTCCAAGATCTTTCACTTCGTGTCTCTCATTCCCTATCAAGCGCCGCCGCCGAGCAGTTAGTTCCTTTGGTCGCGCCCCTCGCCTGCGACAGCTACCCTGAAGTTGCCACCCTTCATCGCTTTTTTCTCCTTCTTTCTCGTCCTCACGATTATAACCTGAACGCGCAGCACGCTTTATATTTGCATCTTTTGGAGTTCTTCATGCATAAAAGGGGTCATTAATTTTCCGGTTGCCGCGCAGCGGTCAGCGGCTGTTTTCCAAATTCGGTATAAGAGGATAACCTTACAACTTTTACAATCATAAAATCGCGTTGTAGCGTCGTTTTTACAAATGGCGTAATCATTTTCGCCCGCTCGCGAGCGCGTTGCTGATTTCAAAACCGTATTTCGCGGTTTTCCTTTCCCCTTCCACGCTCCTCGCCAGTTTTCTTTTCCTGAATTCTATCTCCACCTCCATACCCTGCCCGCTCCCGACGGATACCCACCGTGGCCGCGGCCACTTTGCTGTTGTGTTTGATCCCCAACAGATCCAGCCGACGCTGCTCCTCCTCCGACCACAACACGCCACCATTACCCCCTCCCCCTCCAGGCTGGAGCATCTGCTGCTGCTGTAGGTGCAGCTGCTGCTCCGAAGGCGTCAGTGTCGTGAAGCGCGTCCCGATGGTGGGGGACAGCAACGTCAGCTGCAGCTGGGAAGACTGTGTGGATTGGGTGGAGGAGTGTCCAGAGAGCTGGGAGGTCAAATGAAGCGATGTCGAGGATAATGACGACTGCTGTGGCTGAGGCGGCGGTTGTTGTTGCTGTTGCTGTTGTTGCGCGCTGCCCAAAGCTCTGTGAAGGACCTTGTCCTGCAGCGCCAGTAGCCGTACAATTTGCTGCGCGCATGTACGGGTATGCATAGCACATGGAGAGGGAGAGGGACAGGTTAGGTTGCGTGTTGGAAGGCGAGGGAGGCAAAGAGGCTCCCAGGGCAGCCCCAAGTGCCATCATCACCCCCAGTTAGCTCTAGGCGGCAGGAGGGCGCATCGCGCACCCCGAGGTGGCTGATGCACGTGGATAAAGGGGGTTGCGATGGCCTCCCTCCGCGCCTGCCGGCCCTTGAAACGGTACTTAGGACAGAGCCCGGTTGCTAGAGCTAAATTAGGATGGGGCCATAGTCTGTTCGGCTGCCGCTGCTGCCGCTGCTGCTGAAGGCACCAAGACTGCTGCTGCCGCAAATTTTCATCTCCTCTTCCCTGGCTGGCTGACCCACGCGTCCCGGGCGCCACCGGGCAAATCCTTGCATACTGCACACTCCTGCGCCACCTCCTCAATGCCCATACCTCCCCACCCGTTGCCCCAAACAATTGCTTAGCAGGCCCATAAACCTTCGGTCTGTATCTGGATCACCATGCACGCACGGTCCGGTCTCGGGCTCTCGATCAAGAGCTCCACTACCACGTAACATGTCATGGTCACTGTCCATCCGAGCCCCCCAGCTCCCAGATGTCCATGACCCAATAACCTGCATTATGTAGCCCCAATGACGGTACACCCCCATCATCTCACCGCGCCCCTCTCTGCAATGTCCGGTGGCGCCAGCGCGTTGCTGCCTCCTCCACCAGCCCCGCCCAGCTTCCCGCCGCCTGCCGCTACCGCGCCCTGCTGCTGCTGCTGCTGCTGCTGCTGCCCCTGCGGTGATCCGTTGGGTGGCAACCCACTTGCCGGAAACGCCACACTGATGACCACACTCAGCGGCTGACCTCCATTGCTGCTTCCAGGAGGGGCGTCCAGTTCCCCATCTGCAGCTCCAGTGGTCCCGGACTCGGCTTCGCGGGCCGCTGCCGTAGCAGCGGTGGTTGCCGCGGGTGGCCTAGCCCCACCCAGTCCTGGCCCCGTTTCGGATGCTGTGGTATTGGTGTTGGTGCTGTTGCTGGTGGTGTTCGTGGGTCCTTGACTAGAATTGGGACTGAAGAATGGGGCGTTGGCTGCGGTGGTCACTCCGGAGGTCCTGGATATGGCGGCTGCACGGGAAGCCACGTGGGCCTCGAGTTTGGCGGCTGAGGCGTTTAGGGTGTTGAGCTTCTTAACGCTCAGCAGCTCAAGGCCGTGGAGCCGCCGACCAAAAGCCTCTGGATCGGGAGGAGAATAAAAAGGGGGCGGATTTTACACGGAAGGCAGCTGGACCTGGGCATAACCCAAATGCGGGCACCCCGAAAATCGGGAGGATCGCGGAAGGATGGGGTGGGGGGAGTGTTCCTAGAAGCAATCCTTATGAAGGTGTGCCATCCAAGAGTTCATAGTATTATAAATCAACGCAGCAAGCAATTTAAAGTTAGCACTTACCTGCGATGACTTCCTGGGTCGTCGGCCTTGCGCGGCTCCCCACCCCCGGACCAGTCAGGGTGGCTGAAAAGAGGCGTGACGCAGGATTTGTGCTGAGCGAGCCTGGTGTTGCTCCGATCATCGCCGTAGCACCGGACGCCGCGCCGGGCGCCCTCCGGCCCTCCGTCGCTGCCATTTGGCTGTCTGGAAGATGAACGCCCCCGTTACCACCCTGCTCCTCGAGTCATCCAGTAACGGTTCGGCTTATGTTTTTTATCTATAAGATGATGGCAATATTGACGTCCGCGTTGCAGAAAACAAAAGCACTTGGTTGGACTTAGAAAGGTTCGACATTACCACATATCACATCCACTTGCGTTATCACAATCAGACATCAACATCGTAATTGATAGTTTAAAGCAAAAAGCAAAAGGGAATTTGGGGTTGAGCCCTAGAGCTGCAACCTAAGGATGGATGCACGTGGTTTCCTTCCTAGCGAAACACCTGCTACGCTCTTGTCAGCTATTTGGGATATTCTGTGTTACAATAAATATTGGCCCAAATGTGTGAAAGGGAAGCAGTTGCGGTCGTCCAAGGGAACAGATCCGTACAACAGCAAAAGAACTGAGCAACTGAGCTGTGGTGCTGTGGTGCTATCTGCTGTGCTATGACTGCCGTCCGTTCCACCAGTTGTGCCGATCACGTATCATCAGATGAAGCAACTTCTTACAGCAGGATAATACCTGTAGCTAAGGCGTGCACCTTGTACCACTTGCCGCGCTTATAACGGACACGCCAGATCGCGTGGGGACCTGACTTCGCCATCTAGGGCTTGGGATATTCCCTGTGATGCTGCCACCAACCTGAAGTTCTTTAATAGAGTTACAGTTTCCTAGTTACCGCGAATCGCCGGGATTATGGTCGATCATGCGCTTGGACGAGCGGAAGGAGGTGTCGATTTTCGAATCGTGATAAGCCAACCCTCGCCAAAACGCAACGGTATACTTGAAACCTGTTCGGTACAGAAAGGCAACCTAGGAAAAGCTGACTGCTTGCTTGCCTGGACACGAAGGGTTGAGCTGGCCTGCTTACATGCAATACTACTGTACACAGAACGAGGAAGGGAGGAACCATTTTTGGCCTGGCGCACTGGTTTCGGAGCCCACCCGGATAATCCGGCATCTGTGGAAATTTTCGTTCAATCGTTTAGGGACGGTCCAACACTGTTGGACCAACAGTCCCGTACTGTAAAGTGCACTGGAAGATTCTGTTCACATGTCACTCTGCGTCAAGATCATTCACCCCCTCAAAGGTCACCTAGAATGAAGTACTGTAGTACTGCAACCAGACTGATCATATTACCTAGCTGGAGCACCCGCGGGGGCTGTACCGGCACCTTGTTCGGGTCTCCGCCACTGCTGCCTTTGTGGCACGCTGTACAATCAACAAATTCAACCATCCAGGCAAAGCATACGCTTCGAGCTTGCGTTCTGCGCCCTTGACGCTCAGCGGCGCGCACCCGGTCTCGCGAAGCCTCACGTTTAGTGCGTTTGTAGGCCGATAGCAGAATTGCAGCGACACCATTTCCAGCGAAACGTCCACAGCTGGTCTATATGATAAGCAGAACGTGCGCAGAGCTTGCGTCCTACATGGTCCTAACTGAGCTAACTGTACCGAACGTCCATCCAGTAGCTAGAGAATGCTAGACGTATTGTCCTCAATGCACGTCCAGCTGCGCTTTTATTTATATAGGTGCATTATGCGATACTCCCTTGTCGCCAAAAAAATAAACGTCCGGCGGAAGTAACGGCTGACGTAAGTGCTTGGCTTAAGACACCGGTACGACGACATCATTATCGTCCAAGGTATCAGTTTTAAGCGCAAGCTATAGGTGACTGGCACACCGGTAATTTGTGAGCATAGAAGAGGCTTTCGCGTTTCGGAATTCCAGGCACGGCCATTGCCCAGCTTCCAAGCCTTTTTCGCTGCATTAATAAAAATATTTTAATTAAGAGTATCCAGCTATGGATGCTTTCGCCCTGCTGACTGGCGGGGCAAAATTCGATCGGCGGCGCTACAAGAAGGACATCGATGCTTTCAATCCAAAAGCAGGTACGTGACTGGGGATAGATCATGATGCCGCATTAGTTTCATCTCTCCCAACAAGTTATTGGTCTCGTGCGGGCCGCCGCGCTGCTGCATTGACGCTCGCCGTTAGCGAGGCCGCCCTTAGCTTGCCGAATGTTGGAGCTTGTTCCTTAACCTACTGAGATCATATAGCCCTTGAAAGTCTCACACACGGACGAAGGAAGAGTGGAAATCCCTTGGCACCGCGCCGCTTTCACGGCGCCGCTGATAGTCCTTCAACCCACTTCCTTACCAGCACCCCCTTCCCCGGCGTCGCCGGCAACCCTCCGGTTGCGGGCGGAGCGGTAGGGAAGAGGAGTACATGCTCGGTGGCCGTGTCTGTGTTCTTCACCCCCTACCCAAACAACTTTCCATCCTCAACCGCGACCCGCCTATCACCCGCCGCTGTCGGGCTGCGATCTCCTTCGGTCCCGATCCAGGTCCAAGATCCTCATCCAGGTCCTGACGTGTCCCTTTCCTCCTGCTCCCCTCTTTCCTCCCTTCCCGCAAAGTCACCACTGCCGCACAGCAGCAGGCGGCCCTGGCGGCGGCTAGGAGGGCTGGCGGCGGCAGTGACGGCGGCGGAGTAGCAGTGCACGGTGGCAGCAGGGCCGGCGGCGGCGGTGGTGACGGCGGTGGCAAGAAGCGCAGCAGGAAGAAGCGGCGGCGGCTGGCAGCTGGGGAGGAGGAGGAGGAAGAGGAGGGTAGGTCGTGACGGGTGGCGGGGTGGCAAGAGAGGAAGTGGAGGAACGGGATTTCGGGGCGGGGGAACGGGGGGTTGTGGCGCCTGGGTGTTAGGTCCCCACTCGCCTGGGAGTTAGGTCCCCACTCGCCTGGTTGTTAGGTCCCCACTCGCCTGGGAGTTAGGTCCCCACTCGCCTGGGTGTTAGGTCCCCACTCGCCTGGGTGTTAGGTCCCCACTCGCCTGGGTGTTAGGTCCCCACTCGCCTGGGTGTTAGGTCCCCACTCGCCTGGGTGTTAGGTCCCCACTCGCCTGGGAGTTAGGTCCCCACTCGCCTGGGTGTTAGGTCCCCACTCGCCTGGGTGTTAGGTCCCCACTCGCCTGGGTGTTAGGTCCCCACTCGCCTGGGAGTTAGGTCCCCACTCGCCTGGGAGTTAGGTCCCCACTCGCCTGGGTGTTAGGTCCCCACTCGCCTGGGTGTTAGGTCCCCACTCGCCTGGGAGTTAGGTCCCCACTCGCCTGGGAGTTAGGTCCCCACTCGCCTGGGAGTTAGGTCCCCACTCGCCTGGGAGTTAGGTCCCCACTCGCCTGGGAGTTAGGTCCCCACTCGCCTGGGTGTTAGGTCCCCACTCGCCTGGGTGTTAGGTCCCCACTCGCCTGGGTGGGATGAGCTTTCGCTGTCGTTGCGGCTGTGGTGGTGCTCAGGGTGCTGCGTACTGCTGTTTGCACGGTTGCTGTTGTTGTGTTTATTTGCCATTTGCTGGTTTTGATTCTGGTTCTGACCTAGTTTTGGTCCTGGCGGTGGCGGTTCTTTGCCGCCTCAGATGATGTTCGACCTGGAGGTGTGGAGATGTTCGGGTCCCGAGGAAAGCGGCAGGAGGAGGAGGGGGGCGCTGGCGACAGCGAAAACGAAGAAGATGATGATGATCAGGAGGAGGAGCAAGGGGGGGATGACAGTGCCGAGGGCGACGAGGAAGACCACGAGAATAGCGAGGGGTCAGAAGAGGATACGGGTCAAGAGGAGCAAGAAGACGAGGAAGAAGGCGGCAGAAGGAGCGAGGAGGAAGCAGCAGCAGCAGCAGCGGATCGGCGGCGCGGCGGCAGCGGCGATGCGACGACGTCGGGTCGGCGGTTAGCGGACCTGGGGCCGCTGGTGGATGACGTCATCCCCACGGTCAATACCAATGACCCGTACGAGGAGGCGAATCTGATCCGCAAGGTGTGTATCATACATTTGTACGGATATGAAGCGGCGCGGACGGGAACGCGCAGGACGGTTTTCATGGCGGCATTGGTGTGTGAGCCTACGGGTTACTCCAGTCTAGACGCTCCCCCCCTAGAAAAAGCCGTTTATCATCTTAACCCGTTCAAAGTCCCTCTCATGCCGCTGTGGGCCAATCGGCACCTCTGCGGGCTCTGGTTAGTTCCTCGGACGTCACGAGCTAGCCGGACGGCCCCCGGGGGGTGCTGACTGTTGTTGAGAGGACCTGCAGCACCTGGGAACCGCTAACTGGCTCTCCGGGAAGCGGTTCCATTTCCAGCGTTGCGCCTCTTTTCTCCCCCCCCCGTCAACCCGCCACCCTAATACGCCATGAGCACTCTAACGGACTCACGCCACCTGGTTGCAATCAACTTCTCCCAGCCCTCTCTCCCCTCACCCCCCTCATATGCCGCCACCACCTCACCCTCCTTCCTGCTGCTCACCCCCACCTCACCCCACCCCTTCAGGCCCTGCGCATCAAGGTTACCGGTACCGATGTGCCCGCGCCGCTTAAGAGCTTTGCCGAGCTGGCTGCCAGGTAGTTGGTAGTTGGTAGTTGGGGGTTATTGGTAGTAGTGGTGGGATAGGGGGGATGGTGGTGTGGGGGGAAAGACGAACCACACGCGATTGAAGCTGCTGCCAGGGCAAGATAGTAGCAACCGAAAGAACTGACCGAAAGGCGTCCGTGGCGACTGTGACGACTGTAACCTCGGGATGACGACTGTAACCTGTGTGGGGGGAATGTCCGCTAATGGTGGTGGTGTAAGGGGGGTTATGTCCCAGATTTCCGTGCCTCCGCCCCTCCCCATTCATACCGCGACAGCTCGTGATGGCTTTGTGGGTTTCGCTCATGATCAATCCCTCTCCCCTCACCCCGCTGGGATGGCGGCGGGTGCTATCGCATCCGCATCTTTGCAAACACGAATGGACCCGTTCCTCCCTTTCCTGCCCAATACTTTGTTCCTTAGTTTACCTTGCTATTGGCATTATTTTGACTCCTCTCCTCCCCTCCTTCCACGCCCCCTTGCCCCCGTCTCGTTGACGTATGTATGCATGCATATATGTATGTACGTAGTATGTATATAACTCCCCCTCCCTCCCTCCCCCTCACAGGTACCGGGTCAGCCGGCGACTCGTGACCTCGCTGCTCTCCTCCGGCTTCACCTCCCCCACCCCCATTCAGCGCCAGGCCATACCCGCACTGCTGGGGGGCAGGGAGCTGCTGGCGGTGGCACCCACAGGTGTGTGTGTGGGGGGGGGGGTAAGGGGGGAATCCCTGTGCGGGCCGTTGACATGGAGCGGGCAGTGGGGGCCCGAGGGGTAGGGGAACATCTCCCGCTCTTGTCCCGGACCTGTTCGGTTCTTTTAGGTCTCGGGAAATGTCGGCGGGTCTATTGAAAATGTCGGCGGATGAACTGCGCTTCATAGCCTCCTCCCCGTCTGCGTGTTGCGCCCTCTTGCTCAACCCCCTCACCCCCTTTCCCCCCTCAACCCCCCTCACCCCCAGGCTCCGGCAAGACCCTGGCCTTCCTGGTCCCCATCCTGGCGGGTCTGCGAGCTGCTCGCTCCAGGGGGGAGTGGCCCGAGGGGGTGAAGGCGCTGGTAGTCAGTCCCACACACGAGCTGGCGGCGCAACAGGTCGTTGAGGGAGGGGGACTGTTGACTGGTGTGTGTACAAGTATGTATGTATGTACGTGTGTATGTGCATCTCCTTGCATTATTATTTTCATTCAATGTGCTGCTCATCTCTCCCATCCCACCCCCTGGCTCGCCTTACCTGAGGAGTGGCGTGTGAGCAGAATGCGTGTGTGTATTGGAGTGAGGGGAGGTTGTCCGTACTCCCCTCTTACGGCATATGTTTGTAGGGTGTTTCCTGTCGGGGGAGTTGGGGACCGCCGCCCCGCCCCTCCTCGCCCCGGTGTTGCCTAGTCGCCTGGGCCGTATGTCCAAACGTATGTCCGGACGTGTTTTGCCTATTGTCTCACCTCGCATCTCATCCGAGCCTTCCTGAAGGGTATTCTCGGCTTCCTAAACCCTCCCCCCCGCCCCGGCCCGCCCACTTCGTCTCACTTTTTTCCTTGCTTGGTGCATCGTGTGCTCCCCCTGCCCCCCCCCTTCAGGCCCGCGTTCTGAAGCTGCTGCTCCCCGGCACCGGCCTACGCGGCTGCCTGCTGACCAAGTCCACGGCGGCTGGCAGCGACTTCTCCAAGGTGGATGTGCTGCTGGCGAATCCGTTGCGGCTGGTGAAGATGGTGGAGGAGGGCAAAGTGCAACTTGCGCAATGCAGGTGGTGATGGGGAGGGGGAAAGGGGGGCGGTAGAGGGGGTCCTGGGGAACCATACACACACACACACACACCGCCGTCGGCAGTTGACTTTATTTTCTCCATTTTCGCGATATGCAGCTGTTCCCTCCCCCCTCCACACACACAAACATGCACCTCTTTGCCTCCCCCTCCTCCCCCCTCTCCTTCCCTGGCTACCTGCCCTGCCCCGCCCCGCCCCGCCCTGTCCAGGTACGTTGTCCTGGACGAGGCCGACAAGCTGTTCGAGCTGGGCTTCATGGATCAGATCGACGCGCTGCTGGCGGCGGCGCAGCACCGGGACGTGGTCCGGGCGCTGTTCTCCGCAACGTTGCCGGTGAGGGGCCCTTCTTAACAGCGGGAGGGAGAGGACGGCAGGAGAGGGAAGAGGGGGGTGGGGGGTGGTTCGGGCGGGGATAAGGAAAACTGCCCGGATGCAGGTTTGAAGGGGAGGGTGAGTGCGCACTTGCTCTCTTTCACGGCGGCCCTCCTCTAACCATACACCGACTTTTGGCATGTACGACGCACATGGACACAGACAGACAGACAGACACACAGTACCTGCCCTAACGGCCCTACCTGCCGGGGCCCCACCAACCCACCCTTTAGGAGCGCGTTGAAGATCTGGCTCGCAGCGTCCTCCAACAGCCTCTAAGGATTACCGTGGGGCTGCGGAATGCGGCCGTGTCCAATGTACGGCAGCGGTTGCATTTCGTCGGTCGTGAGGCTGGCAAGTTGCTCGCTCTGCGGCAGTTGTTGGCGGACGGCGGTCTGGTTCCCCCCGTGCTTGTGTTTGTGGGGAGCAAGGAACGAGCCAAGGCCCTGCACAGGTAGGAGGCGGATGGAGCAGGGGTTGGAGGGGAGAAGACGGGGTGTGGGGGGGAGGGGGGGGGGCCGCTGTCAGTCAGGTGCCCGGTTCGTCTTCCTGCTCCTGTCCTCCTTACCTGTCTGTCTGTTTGTCTGTCTGTGTGTCTACACCTCTTGTGCGCCTGTCCTGAGTGTAAACCACAACGGTCCACTGCCTTGCTGCCCTGGGCGCAAGCTGCCCCCTCCCCTCCCGTACCCTCCCGCACTCCCCGTCCTCTTCCGGCTCTACCCGCCTACCCCACCTCCACCTACCTAGGGAGCTGATGTACGACGGAGTCCACGTGGATTCCATTACGGCAGGTCAACCACAAGCGGCTCGCAATGCTGCGGTCGACAACTTTAGGTGCGCGTGAGCTGTTTGTGCCCTGCGTGTGTTCATGTGTATGTATGTATGTAATGTGCTCCCAATTCCTCCCCCCTCCTCCCCCCAGCCNGAGACTGGTTCATCGACTTATCTGCAGTTGAACCCCCTACCCCCCCTCCCCGGCCTCCCCCCCCCCTCCGGCCTCAGAGCTGGTCGCACCTGGGTGCTCATCGCCACCGACCTCATCGGCCGCGGAATGGACTTCATCGGCGTCAACACCGTCATCAACTACGACTTCCCGAGGTCCACTGCCGACTACGTGCACCGCATCGGGCGGACGGGGCGGGCGGGCAGGTCGGGGGACGCGGTGACGTTCTTCTCGGAGGAGGACGGCCCCGCGCTGCGGCCCATCGCCAACCAGATCAAGGCGGCGGGTGGCGAGGTGCCGGACTGGATGTTGGCGCTGCGGAGGGACAAGAGGGCGGCCAAACGCCGCAGACTGAGCGACCGAATCGGTGCAGCGGCGGACTTTGAGGCGGAGGAGGCGGCGGCGGGGTCCGGCAGGGGGAGGGGTAGGGGTAGGGGGAGGGGGGGAAGGGGGAATGGTTTAGCTGTGGAGGGGGGAAAAGTTGGTGGGGGACGAGGCGGCAAGCTGAAGGGGGTTGAGGATGGAGGTCGTGGAGGTCGTGGTGGCGGTGGGGAAAGGAGGGGAGGTCGGGGTCGAGGTCGGGGCTGAGTCAGTGGGCTGCGGGATGTGGACGGCTGAGTGACACAAGTGTGTATGTATGTGTGTGTATTGAGCGTTACATGAAGTTGTGCATGAGGATACAAGTTCCGGAAGAAGGGGAAAGAGGGAGAGGGCGGTGTGACGACGGTGCTTGGAGCGGAGCGCGGGAGCAAACACACACACATCTTGTATGTAGCCGTCAGGCAGTTGTTGAGAAAAGACCGTTGCAACCCTAAGTCAGTTACTATGCGTACGGCAGGTGCTCCGGTACTGACTGCTATTTCGAACCTTGACATGTTTCTATCAATACGTTTATCAATTACTTTTATCAAAGGAACGGTGATACTGCAAAGAAGCTTCTTAAAAGGTGGGCTCGGCTTAGGGTGTGTCCTCGACCCGTGATTATCAGGGAGGGGGTGGTCGCGGGGGGATGTCCAGAGCGCTCCCCTGCTACGCGATTACCTCCGGTCACCCCCCTCCCGTTTTCCCTCTCCTCCTCCTCCCCGTCCCAACATCAACACATGTACGGCGTCAGACGCTCCGAAAAGAGCCCCACACCACAGACCGCATGGGTGCGTGGTGCGTCATGTCGTGGATAGCATGAATCGGCTTTGTGCTGGCGAGGAAGACCACACAGAAAGCGCATGCACTTTGAAGCGGCAGCCGCAAACAAAGACAAAAAGCAGGCATAGCCAACATTCGCAGCCGGGGGCGGAGGCCAGCTAAATTTGTTGCGGACGACGTGGCTGCGCGCCGGCCGTTGCAACCTTCGCAAAATATAGGAGGCCGCGGAGGCCGCGAAAAACTGCATTTAAATGGGGTTCTGCAAAATGCTGACGTTTGGCGAATTTCTGCAGGCGCCGCGCGGCGGGTGGGGCCAGCGACGGATAGAATTCTCGAGGGCCTTGTCATTGGCAATTTCCCCCGATAGGGACTGTACGACATCACCGAAGAGGTCGCACCCATGTAACTGTATACATGCTTAGAGTTTCTCCAATTTTACATTTGTGTAAAAGCCTGTCGCTTATACGAAACTACGCCATGCGGAGATTCTTGGCCGCGATACAGGCGAGCGCAATAATGAGGGGTCGCCTTGAACGTACGTTATACAGGCGGCAGTACTTTGTGTTACGTGAGATGCTCCGGAACCCTTCATCCTCCCTCCCCTCCCCTCCACCGCCTGTCTGAACCCCACCACAAACAGGTATGTCCACCATCATCATCATCATCATCATCATCATCATCATCATTATCATCACCACCACACTAGCATTCCTCCCCTCGCTGCTTATTGCACATTATATACCACTGGTACGGCGGAGCAGCAGCAGGTAAACATGATACGGCACATGTATGCAAACAGAGAAACCGGGGGGAAAGAAAATGCGATTCAGTACTCGTTAGGAAGCCAATTTCAGGAAACATGTACACATCACCACCACCATCACCATCGCCGCCACAACATCCTATTGCAACTGCAAAGAACCGCTGTGTGCGTGGGCTTCGGTCGAGGCACAACATGTGGTGCCGTACCACCTCCCTCCCCGGCGCCGGCGCCCACCCTAAACCCAAACCCCTGCCGTCGCCGTACGCAACCCCAGTGAAGACGCAAGCGGCAGTGGCAACGGCCACGGTAGGGTTATGGTTATGGTTAGGGGGAGAGGGGAAGAGAGCCAGAGGCAGGGGGTTGAACATCCTGAGGGAGAGAGCAAAATGATCAACGGGTTTGAGGGGGAATCTCTCGTCCAACTAACTTCTCCAACCGTCGCGTCAAACTACCTCTTGCACACCGCAAACTAAGGACGGCTGCTTCCCAACCACCCGGGTGGCAGTTGACCGCGGGGGAGCGGAATGGCCAACATCACTATCACCGCGACGGTCAGTCTTCTTCGACAGCTCTTCGTCGCGACAGACGAAAGTCAACAGCACCTAGCTGTGACACATACACACGCGGGTAGTATAAGGCCCCCTAACCGAATGATTTCCGATACAGAAATTGACATCGAGGGCAATTATATCTTTATTTTATCTGATTTATGAACAGTGACGATGGCGTAACAATCCCAAATGCATCTTAACTAGGTAGTACTCAGGCAAAGAAAGTAAAAAACCAAAATGTTATCGAACAGACGAAAACGTTCTTGGGTACTGGCCGTGCTATGGCACATGCAGCGACTACGGCAGAATGTACGGCTTTAATGAAGTAAAGGAATACAGCCGTCCAACAAACCAACGAACTAACCGCCTCCGACAGCTAGGACGGCCCGAATGACCGAAGCCCTGAACATGCCATCGGGGGCAGGGACGCCCCGGGGGTTTGCCCCTCCCCTTCCTCCTCCTCCCTCTCCTCCTCCGCCTCCTCCTCCGCCTCCTCCTCCCCCTCCGCCTCTACACACGTTCATCCACATAATGTTCAGTGTGCAATAATGATAATAATAATGATAATCAGTTTTGATGACCAATCAATAATGGCAATAACATTATAGCAATAATGGCGGTAGGATAGCGGAGCTGGAGATCAGTGATGAGGGTGAGGATGACGATGGGGATATTTGCATGAATGGATGGAATATGCACGAATGGCTATGCAACGCACCACCATGTACCGTATGCCGTACACGTCACTGTCCGCCGTAGCCTCCACGCACCCTGCCGTGCTTTCCTACCTACTTCCCTTCCCTTCCCCTCTATCTACAGCACAAGAGCGCCTCCCCTCACCACCACCTCCCTCGAGGCCGCACTATACATCTGCGGCTCCAATATGACAGCCATGATCACCACACCACACCACACCACACCACACCACACCACACCACACCACACCACACCACACCACACCACACCACACCACACCACACCACACCACACCACACCACACCACACCACACCACACCACACCACACCACACCACACCACACCACACCACACCACACCACACCACACCACACCACACCACACCACACCACACCACACCACACCACACCACACCACACCACACCACACCACACCACACCACACCACACCACACCACACCACACCGCAACACCCCATTCTTCAACTCCCTTTCCAACCCCGCCCACCTCTCCCCTCATTCCCCTTCTCCCCTACAACACCCTGACCCCAACCCCCTACACGTACCCCCCCCTCCCTCCCTCCCTAATCCCCCCTCCCTAGCTCCTTCCTTCTCAAAAACACATTCACGCACCTCTCCTTCTCACCACCACTCACACTCACGCCAAAATGTAACGCACCGCGCCCACATCCGTACCGCACATCGCCCCGCGGGACCGACCGTAAAAGTCCGTACTCGCCTCCGCCAGCAGCGGCGCCGCGCACCGCGCCACACTCTCCCGCGACGGCGCATAACTTTCCGGATCTATCAGCGGGTTCGCCTCCACACTCCCCGCCTCATTACCGCCGCCAAGGTACTGCCCCCAGCCCGCCAAGCTGCCGCTGGCGTAGCCCTCCCCCAGCGGCGGCACCCTCTGGTCCACGTAGAGGGTGTTGGCGATTTCGCTGTCGCCGGGTTTGTAGTATATGTTGTTGGCGAAGTGCAGGGTGGTGGCGGGGTCGACGATGGCAGGGTAGGTGGCGGGGGCGTTGGGATCGACCCAGGACATCCTGCGAGGCAAGGAGAGGGGGCGTGCAGGAAGGCGGGGGCAGAGCGAGGGTAAGTGGATGCAAAGATACGTGGATATCTTGGCATAAGATACATACATAGAAGATACATCGATGTGAAATACGGCAAGGATGTACGACAAGGACGAGCCCTCGCTGGACCCCTTCCCCTCCCTTCCCGGGCCTCCTCACTCACTTACCCGTTGCATTCGGCGATAGTGCAGCCGTAGTTGACACAGATACAGCCTGGGTCAATGACCTGCCGGGGTGGGGTGTGGGGTGTGTGGGGAGAGGGGTGGGGGCCCCCGAGAGGTGGTGAGGGGGGTGAGGCGGGTGAGGCGGGTGAGGCGGGTGAGGTGGATGGGTAGGAAATCAGCTACCTAGTAGGAAGCACGATTGGCAACTGCTTCAGCCGTAGTCTCCCGTACGCCGTACCTCCATGTACGTCGAATTGATCTTCATGACCTCCTTCAGTTCGTTCCAAATGGGGTACCACTTGGATGTGCCCTCACCTGGGGGGTGTGGGGGAGCGAGGGTCGGGGATTTGGAGTGGGAAGGAGGTTGGGGTGTTATGCGGGGGCTGGGTTTTCCCCGGGATTTAATATTATTCTTTGGAGTTGGCCACCCGGGATCCAGTTTGCGAAACCCAAAGCCCCCTCGGATACACACACGCACACCCAACCCCTGAACCCCCCCCCCCCACACACACACACGCACACACCCGCGAAATCCCAGGGAAGGCCGTTATCCGCAAAGAATGCGCCGTGCTTCTTCAACGCCTCACAAACCACCTCCGCAGCACGTGCCAACTGCGAGCAGTTGTACGACGCCTTGAGCCGTACACGCATGCCCATGTACGGCGAGTCTCGCCCCGTGTCGCCAATGGCGGCGAAGTGGGTCGCGGGCATGGCGTACGCGGGTCGCGAGCTTGGTCCCGTGAACCTCAGCGCGTGGTCCACGTGGCCCCGCGCCACCTCATCGTAGCGAAGCAGTCCGGGCATGATCGGCAGACCGGCTGCGTCGGCTGACGTGGCGCCCAGCGCGTGGTCCAGGGCGTTGCGGGATAAGTTGAAACGCAGCAAAGCCTCCACCTGCGAAGGGGCCGGGGGAACCCCCCCCCCCCCGGGGGGAATCGCGGGGTTTGGAAAGTGATGAGAAACAATTTCCTCGCCCTCAACAGAACAAATAATGTACGTACGGTTCCATTTATTCAATAACAGCGGCGTATAGAGACACACACACACACACACACGCTCTCTCACGCACACAGCCCGTGCACACGCCATACACACGTACGCACACACCTGCCAGGCTCCGTTGCCGGTGACGGAGGGCGGGAAGCTGCAGTTGGTTCCGGGGGCGAGGGGGGTGAGGGGGGTGAGGGGGGTGAGGGGGGTGAGGATGTCCGGGGAGGTGGTACGACGTGCGGCTGTACGGGTTCCGCTCGGGGGGAAGGAGGGGGAGGAGGGAGGACAGGGCCCCAGAAACACGGGAGAGCTGTTGTACAACAGCTGTACAACAACTGTACAACCACTGTAAGCACGTCACAGACCATAGCAAATCAGATAATGTTCTCGCTACATGTTCTCCCAACCCCCCAACCCCAACCCCCCTATCATACACCCGCCCCGTCCTCAGCTCACGACGTAAAACTCCCGCTGTACATTCCCCCGCCTTGCCGTACCCCGAACCTGCCGCCAACAGCTCCACGCCACAGCTCCCTCATTCGTTCCCCACCAACCCCCTTCTCAGCTTCCTGCCCCCCACAATCCCCCTCCTTTACCGCCTCCTGCAAGCTGCCGTACCTCCTCCATGCCTCGTACAACGTACACGTGGCGTTATCAATGACAATCAAATGACGATCTCCCCAGCAAGGAGGGTCACCACAGCCGGGGAATGAGTTCTGCATAGGTACGACACCGTACGGCATAGTTGGATATAAAACATATATGGAGTTTCCTAAACGGTTTACCAAGAACGCCAAATCTCATCTTATCCAATATCAAGGTCATTAAACAATTTCGGTGTCCGCAGAAATGTTTCTGGAGCCTGGTATCCCAATTTCTCAATATTCCCCTTACAAAAATGCCCGCAACTTGCCGTACCTGTACGGCAGCGTCCGCTGGGATGGGACTGCCGCCAGGCTCCAACTCGTTGGGATCGCCGTAACCGCTGGGGCCGAACACAATCTGCTCCGGGGGGTGATGTTGGGGTCGCGGGGTGGGGCGGGGTTAGGGGAGATGGCAGCAGCATACGGGGAGAGGCAGGGGGCTGCATTCAGGGCATGACATCATCCCAGTCGTACGGCGCACTGCCCACACAGGCGCCTAAATAAACCTGCAAATAACCAATCATGCAGCAAAAACAAGCAACAGATCCAGCACGACACGTCCACTCGACAGTATGTGCCGTACACATTAAGAAGTCGTACAGAGGCGCATAACAGCCGTACAATGGCACATATCCGTACATACCGGCAAGCGAGGGGTTACACTGCTGTTTACATAGTTGATGGGCATACCCGCGGGGAACTGGAGGGAGAGGAGGGGGCGCAGGGCGAGGGTGGGGAAGGTGGGAAGAGGGCACGTGGAAAGGGTTTCAGCAGCGTGGGGGGGTGTCAAGGAAACGGGTTATAAAGCGCAGGGACAAAACACACGGAATCCATACACAGCAAAGGCAGGAAACGGAAACCGGACTGGTTTTGCAGTTTCCGTTTTCCTAGTCCTAAAACCCCTCCCCGAACCTCATCTAAAACTCCCTCACCGTTGTGCCGTTGATGGTAACTGAAAAACCGAAGTCCAGATGCAAATTTTTGAATCCAATGTTGCTCTTGATGGCTTCGCTTCTGGGATGTACGGCCAAGCCCGACACATCCTGGTGCCAGGGGTTGGAGTCCGGGAAGAAGGGGCAGGAGCCGTCGGGGTTACGGCCTTGCTCCACCGTGGAGTACACGTACGGCTTCGTGAAGGACGCCGGTACGGACACCAGCCGGCGGCGGCGATGATGGGCAGACGGCAGCCCGGCGTCGTCATCGCTGTCCAAGAGGGACGAGGTGGGCGTGATGTAGGTCGCGTAGGCGGCGGTAGCCGCCGCTGCGACGGCGTCGGCTGCCGCCGCCTTAGCGGCGGCGCTGGCGGCGGCCGCGTCGGCTGTGGCCGCGGCGGCAGCCGCCAACGCCGCCGCGGCGTCAGTGTCGTGTGCGGCAGGCGACGCTGCTGCTGGCACCGCAGGCGTGATGGTGACGTCGTCATCGGCGGCTGCCGCCGCTTCCACTGCCGCCGCTTCATGACGGGACCAGAAGAGCTCCGACGAGGAAGTCAAGGGGGAGGGGGAAGCAGCCCCAGACATACCTGGGCCGACGGATTCTCGTCCGTACCAAGCGGGCGTGACGTCAGCGGCGTCGGACATCTTGGCCGCGGCAGTGACGACGGCAGTGGAGGCGGCGGGCCGTACCGCAGCATCCCAGGCGCCGACGCGCGCTCCGCCGGGGCCATGCCAGCTCCCAGCGCCGCCCTTGCCGTATGGCGCAAACGCAGCCGACTTTGCCGCCGCCATCGCCTCCGCCATCGATCCGCCCGCTTCTGCCACTGCAATCTGCTCCTCCACCTCCTCCTCCTCCTCCTTCTCCTGCTGCTGCCGCCGCCGTCGGCTCAGCCCTGGTGCCGCCGGGCTGACTGGCGGCGACGGCGGCCGCATGGGCGGCATCTGAGTCACGTCAGCGACGGTGGCATTGGACGAGCAATTGCCGGATGGCGGTACGGAAACCAACGACCTTTGTACGACAGCGCCTTGGAGGATGCGAGTTTGGACCATGAAGCGCAGGCGCGTCCCGGCCGGCATCGTGACAATGTTGTTCTTGAAGGTGATGTTGGTGTTCGGGGGGCCAACTTCCGCCGTGGGCCCGATCTGCTTAGGGCTGACATTGAGCAGTACGGCAGCCTGCATGGACGCCGCCACGTTGAGGAAGGTGTTGTGGACGACAGTGCAATCCCGGGCAGAGTAGAAAGCAACTCCCGCGCCTGCCCCGGAGTCCACGATGTTGCTGCGGGTTTGGAAGTGAATGGGCAGGGGCGGTGAAACCAGCGGGTATTCGCGCGTGTGTTTGAGGGGAGTATGAAACGCCCTTTCCCTCCCTTTCTGCTCTCCCTAAAACCCTAAGACACTTACTTCCGCACAGTCGCATTGATGCACTCGTGCCAGTCCTCAGGCACCATCCGTGCCCAGTCTGTATCCGTGTATGAGGCCAGGTTGCCCTCGCTGCCCAGCAGGATGCCCACACCGCCGTAGTTGCTGCGGAGGAGGAGAAGGAGGGGGAAGGGGAGGACGGGTTGGCGTAGGGATAGCTTTGGGTTTTGGGGTTTTAGTTTGGTGATTAAGGGTTTTAGGGTGTTGGGAGGGGGAAGGGGATTGGGCAGCACCGTGGGACCCTAAGAACCTGACGCCCCCCCCCCCTCTCCGTGCTGCTCTCCCCTGCACACCCGGGGCCCAGGCCCCTGCACACCCGGGGCCCAGGCCCCTGCACACCCGGGGCCCAGGCCCCTGCACACCCGGGGCCCAGGCCCCTGCACACCCGGGGCCCAGGCCCCTGCACACCCGGGGCCCAGGCCCCTGCACACCCGGGGCCCAGGCCCCTGCACACCCGGGGCCCAGGCCCCTGCACACCCGGGGCCCGGGCCCCCCCTTCGCAAAACAGCCCTAAGAATCCCTAGGACTCACAAACTCAAAAAATAAATATCCTTCCGTCCACTGCCCCCATATTCCCTCTCACCACCCCTTCACAGCGTCGGCCCACCCTCCCACAATCCCACACACCCTTCCACCCCTCGCCTCTTCGCCGCTCCCCCCTGGCTGCCGTACCGAATGAGGTTCCCCTCCAGGAGCAGGTTACGGACCCCGCCGCCCGCTCGGATGCCGGACTCCGCCACGTTGGAGATGCGGCACCTGCGGACGGTGATGTCTCTCCCCCCCACCACCATGATGCCCGCGGAGGAGGTGTTGGTGATGGCGATGTCCTCCAGCACCACACCCGTCACGTAGGTGCTCAACTTAATGCCGTGGACACCACAATTAGTCAGGTTCATGTCCTGATTAGGGTTTAAGGGTGGGTTAAGGTTTTTGGGGCGCAGGAAACGCCAAAATCGCGAGGAAACTAACAAACTGTAAAAACAGGTAAACCGAAAAAACAAATAACGAGAGCCAACCAAATGAGCGAGCAAAGGAATTACGCATAACAAGGAATACAGCTAAGGCCGCACCTTGAAGATGGATACCCGCGGGCCATTGCCTCCCCTGCCGCTGGTTTCGGAGAAGTACGACCAATAGAAACTGGAGCCGCTACCCGCCCCCTCATTCATATGGATGCAGCTGGCAGCCGTTACGTTGGGACCGGCCATCACAATATCAACGCCCGTTATATTAAGTGCAGTAGCACCGCCGTACATAAACAAACACGGCATCGTACTCGTGTTCGTACACATGAGGGCGGCGCGCGCCGGCGAGTCGCCCGGGTACGTGGCGATGGTGAGGTTGGTTTGCGCCACCGTGACAGCACCCACATGATATTGTCCGGGGCTGGCGCGCAGAAAGATACGATCACACATGCTATGTCGCGTTAGTGCTACAGCCAGCGTTTGGAACGGCTGGGTGTAGCCGCTGTAGTAGTCAAACGGTTGACTGTCATTGCCGTTGATGGAGTCAACGATGATGTCTTTGCACACTCGCGGCTGCCAGAAATAGTACGGCCAGGCCTTGTCAAACATAGGGCCCATGCCAATGCCGCGGTACGGCGGCCGGCCGGCAAATGCCAGCGGCACCGGCGGGAAGGACTTGACAGTACCGGCGGCGCCGTACTGTACGGCACCAGCGTCTCGCGCGCCATCACCGGCGGGCCGCGGCCGGCCGTGGAAGTCATCATCCACCAGCGTCACTGTTGTCGTACCCTTCGCCGTAGCATTAGTGTACTTCGGCTGTAGCTGCAGTAACGCATTAGCTAGGGAGACGTTGAGCTGCAGCAGAGCCGAGATGTCGAGGGTTGCGGGGACTCGGCCGCGTGCGGGGCTGCAAGGCAGGGGCGCAAAACCCGCATCTAGCCTTGGATCCGCCTCCACACTCCCCACATCGCACATTGCCTGTTTAAGCCGCGTGCCGCAATGCGCTGCCCAGCCACTTGCATTTCCAACAAACTTGCTTGTCGACCGCTGATCCTCCAACATAGCTCCCGTACCCCAAAAGAAGCTGCCATTCGTAGGACCCAGTCCCGCTTCGTTGTAGTACATATTGTACGACATGACGAGCGCTGCGATGGTTGAATTTGTATCCAGGCCAGTACTGCGGATCTGTACGAGCGGTCCCCGCATCGATGTGGAGGAGGTGATCACGAGGTTTCCTATGATGGCTACCCCCGCACATGGCACAGGTATGTTTGGACCGCCGGCGGTTAGTACGTGGTACGACCCGTCCAAAAGTACGGCAGCTTGGCCGTATTCCTGCGCCCGCCAAACTGTGTTATGGGCGACAAGGGAGTTTTGCGCTGAGCGAAGAATAATACCCGCCTCGCCAGTTCCGGAAATAATGTTGTTGGTAACGGTATTGTTAACCGCCTCGTACAGGCCTGGATTAACTGTCTGATCCATGAGATCGGTATCGGTCCAGGAACCCAGTTCGAATCCGCGGTCTGTTCGTTCCACTAAATTCCGTTGCATGGTTATGCGCGCCGAGCCGCCCGAGAGGAGGACTGCAGCCGCAGGAAGATCGTGCATATAGCTATCTGATATGGAAATGTCGTACCCTTGTACAATATCAATACCATTGCCGTACGTGCGGAGCCTTGCACCGGCATTGTAAAATTCGCAATTTGAAATGCTGTTGTTAACGGCCTTAACCGACATCTTGATGTTGCTGCTCCCTGTATCGTGGATTCTGCAGGGCATGACGTTATGACAGTTGCAAGAATTCATGAGTGGCTGGGTGAGCACACACAGAGTCAGATACCTACACACACACAGACACACACACACGCACGCACACACACACACACACACACACACACAGAGTCAGATACTTTTAACCTCCACACACACACACACACACACTTACACTCACATACAACATTTCCCTCTCCCTCCCCCTCCCACCTAAGGTTCCTCAAGGTCCAGTGGCTGGGTGCCGCCCAGCCCACCGAGTGGTCGGACCAGTGGGTCCAGGAAGTGAAGAACATGATGCCGTAGTAGTAGCCGCCCGTGATCTCCAGATCCGTCAGGCTGCCGTAATCTGCTCCAGGGAAGATGGTGATGACGTTGACACTCGAGCGCGGGTCGCTCAAAGGTGACGACAGCACCGCCCAGTGGCCGGGGGCGGAGCGAATGGTCAAATTGGACCTGGAGATGGAGAGGCTGGCTGCGAGGAGTTTAGAGACGGGAAAAGGGGGGGAGGCTGGTGTTATAGGAGTCGAAGCTGGGGGGGGAGAATGGCGCGGGCTGGATGAGCGGCTCAATACGGGGAGCTGACTGAGGACGTGGAAGGGTTTGAGAAGAGGTTTACTTTGCTGTAAAGGTTTTGAGAAACCTTATCCAGCTCGGGTTCCGTGCTCACTTCAAATAGTCTTGCATAGTTGACATTAGAGCTACACACGCCACTACCCGAACTCCCTTTCCCCCCCCCTCCCCCCCTTACCCCCGTATATTCCCGTCATGAGGTAGATGCTGTCCCCCGGCCAGGCCAGTGTCAGAGCCGCCGCAGGGGATCTGAGCGGCAGCGCCTGGTGGCCGCTGTTCCCCTCGTCATCCCCGTTAGGGCCCACCCACCATACCCGGGGTACGGCAGTGAGGTTGAGGGGGGAGGCAGCGGAGGGGGCTGGCGGGGCGGTGGCGTTGGGGTTGGTGGTGTAGGTGATGGAGAGTGCGGGGCGGTAGAGGGTGCCGTTCTTGTACATGGAGGTTACGATTTGCAGTACGGAGCCGTTCATGCCTCTGGGGGTGGGCGGGAGGGCGGGAGGGAGGGACGGCAAGGTGGGGTGTGCCGTAGTCAAAGAGGAAATTGCTGTAAATACGTAGTGTTGGAATGGCGAACATTAACTATAAGTGAGAGCAACAATAAGCTCCAATAGTGTAGGCAGAATGCCGGAACTATGGAATGGTGAGCTGGAGTAACAAATTCGAAATTTGGCAAGCCGTACGGCTGCTGTGCATGACTTAGCTGAGAGCTATATTCGCTTCGCTCCTGCCGCATCTAAGCTACAATATCGAAGCACACATACACACATACACACACAGACCCCATAAACCCAAAGAAGCCTTCTTGTAAGTATTCTTGTCAGTCAGTCAACCTGTCAGTCTGTCAGTCAGTCAGCGAGTCAGTCAGCCTGTCTGTCAGCCAGTCAGTCAGCCTGTCACCTTCCCTACCACTCCTCAAATGCTCCTCACCTAAACATAAGCCCGTAGTTGTCCCGTCCATTATTCGCGAGCCACTTGGCAACCATGGCGGGATCCAGCGGGACCGTCAGAATCCAATTACCGTTACGGTTCCCGGACGGTACGACAAAACTGATGTTGACTTCTGGGGAGCAGTCGTTCCAACCACCAGGGCGACTCCAGGGAACGCTTGCGGTGCCGTTCCAACGGTAATACAACCAACCAGTGGACGTGTATCTGATAGGGGCGAGAGGGGGTAGGAAAGGGGGTTCAAGGCAAAACGGCCGAGTTCCACTGTACGGCAAACATACACGCTCGCACCCTAAAGGATAGCCTCTTTCCCCTCCTGTGGAACTCTGTCGAAGTCTGCGTTGTGTCGGGTTTTCCCCCCTCACTTCACGACTCGACAAGCCCAGGACAGCTCCTCATCACTTCCATTGCCCAAGGACCCCAAACTCCCAAAGTCCCCCGACCATGCTCCACCTCCCCCCCCCTCTCCCCGCCCCTCTAAACTACCCACGTACTTCTGTGCGGGCCCCTCAACGGCACTCCAGTTCTTAGTCATAAAACACGCCTGTACGGCAGTCGGCGCGTTCCAGTTGATGAATGTAACCGATAGCTCTGCGGCCTCCACTACTGCCCCCGCGGGCACGTAGCGGTGTGCCTGTTCGAACCGCAGCAGCGACCGGAACCGTGTCGTTTGGTTTTCTCCACCAACGGCAAAGGTACCCCCGGACTGATTCCAGAAGTACGAAATACCGTTGGGAAAGTTGTTGATCAGCTGCGGCAGTACGAGGCGAGGGAGGGTTGGGGTCGGGGGACGGGTAAGAGGAGGGGCGTGGGGAGCTGGTGAAGGATAGCGGAGGGGAAAGGGGACTCTTGAGAGGGCGCAAGTGTTGAGCGTTGACAGAAATGGAGGATGAGGAGCGAAAGGGAAGGAAAGCTAAAGCCAAGGTGGAGGAGGGTAATGGGGTAATGAGTTTTGCCGAGGGGCATGTGGGGTGGTTGAGTGGAAAGTGTGTTATCTTTACGTGTAGGTCATGCAGGCGCAGGGTGAGAGGAGCTAATGCGGCTGGACAGTCAGGACAGGCCCCTCCTGGTGGCGTTTTGGTCATAGTTGGATGATTGGGAGAAGGACTCATTAAGGTAGTTTCATGGCCAGGGTAATGGAGTGGTGGGAATAATGCCGGTATTCTGAGTGTTGCGGGAATGGTAGGTGGACTGTGGCAGCGAACACAATGTACTGCAGGCTGGGTGCACGTGCCTCTCTCGCGACAGTATGTTTTAGCTTCTGACAGCAGCAGTTGTCTGGAGTGTGCTTTTACCCATGTGGTGTAACAATACCTGAGTGCTAATTGAAGCTTCGCGGGTGAAATTGTAGACCGTTTCGTTGCCGCCGATGGGCGCCATCTTCCTCCCTGTAACGAGGAGCACCGTAGCGCGCTGTGCGGCAGCTCCACTTAACAGAGAGGTTAAAGCCAGCGTGACGATTGTTTGCATCATCCTTGGAATAAAATATCTCTTTGGGAAGGAACAGTCATACGCCAGCGGAGCCATGTTGGAGTTCGGTTTAGGCTTTATGTCGACATAACGTGTTTTGAATATATAAAGTAATAACGTAGCAATATTATAGTTCCGATGAGGCCAAAGGACTACATTCACTCCCGAAAAATATGATTCGGCGACTGCCAACTGTTTTAGCGAGCCGAGACAAGTGGAAGTTTTTCAGATGAAGGATAAGCAGGCCATTCAAATCCCTCATATAACCTGATGCTAACGCACATTCCTGTGGTCTTCCAGTTTGGTAATCGGGATTATCGTAAGCCGTACGCGCACTTGGGCTGTCTCTCTACAGGAGAGATAGTTTAACTTACAACATGGGCATAAATATTAAATTGAGATTCCTATCTCTATACGGGTTTTTATTTCATCGTGCTGTTTGCCTTTTCCTTAGTCCCCCTTCGTACCCGCCCTGCTGCCTGAGGCATTGATCGGGCGACTAGGAAAGAATTCTCCCATGGCCCGCGGCGAGGCTAATCATCCATGCTGCATTCTGCCTAACACCCAATCGAGCACCCTGCTGAAGGATGCCTGCCCAGTTACCACCTGCTGCTTATTTGGCCATTTGCCAGCGTAGCCAACTGGCCAGCAGCGAGTCGCGATGAGAGAAGGTTTATAACAAAACCTGTTGCGATCACCCTTGCCTGGTTTAAATATCAGCCCGGGCCGGTACGGGCCTCGCCTTGGGCAGCTCCGGCGGGTGTAGCTCCGGCGATTCGGTCAGATCGTAACACCATTCGTTAGTTCAAGGATTTACAGGATGCCTTTTCCTGGTTATAGAGAAGATACAGCGCGGGACCTTATATATTGCAGTGCGTGCCGGCTCGTATAGAAAGGTTCGACTCATTATTAGCACGGGTTTACTCATTACAGCCCGCTAGGGGTTGTTACTGAAAAGAAACCGTACCGTTCCGCAACAATTGGGAACTATAAGCTTACTTAGGGTTTGACGGCCCGGCTCTCGATAGTCTGCTCCTGCTCCACCAGCGGTCTTCGCGTCTCTTAACGCGGTCCTCTAGGCGCTGGGGCACCTTGCGCCCTCGTTGACAGAACGCTCCAGCTGGCCCGAGTCGTCGTGGGCACGCAGCGTCAAGGTTCAGGGCCCAGGGCCCACTTCGCTCAACACCTACCTGGCCTCCTTCCGCCGCCTCGTGGCAGACCTCCCGTTTCGCCACGATCGGGATCATTGCTAAGGCAAATATACACTCAGTGCTTGACTGCTTCCGAAGTTGAGTCCAACGCTGCCCAACCGGTACACGAAATGATTGAGCGATGTAGGGACTTCTATAGCGTAACTCGCTCGTGGCCACTATATCCTCCCCGATGTGAGGGGGCACCCTCATCCCCCCACCCATGCCGAATCCAGCGAGCTCCACCGGCGTCCAGTGGATTCTGCCGGACCAACATGGTGGCGACAACTCATCTCCCGGTCTGCTCGCTGGTCTCTCACTGTAACCAAGTCCATCACCATCCATCGGCATGGGGATGCAATACTTTTACAATTAAGGTATTGGTTTCTCCCGCAGTTCGTTGGGATTGACCCTGGAAACTTTCAGAGATTCTACGCCTTGAAGTATCTGCTGTGCCTAGAACCACGTCAAATGTATGGACTATTCAGCATCTTGGCCTTACGTGTTCAACCCATACGACTGGTCTCATGGTATGCTGCTTTGCGAGAATGCTCAGGCAGCGCGTTCGGGAAATCGCTGGAGGTCAGGTAGCGTTAGGAGCAGACGACCAGCAGACCCGGAAATGAGTGAATGTAGTCTCTATGCAAGATTACGACGATTAGGCAAAGGAAGAACTATATCTTCATAGAAGTAAGACGTATGTAGTACTACAAAAGTATCGGCATCAGAGGCTTTCGGAAGTGAGAAGCTGAGTACGGACGGCCACCGGCGGGATTGGTAATGCGACGATCAAAAAATGACAGGGCTGTAACGTCAAGTAAAATAAAAGAAAAAATACGCCGAAAATCTTCCTTCAGTACCGAATCAGACTGAATCAGAATTCAGGTGATTATATGTGCGCTCGGCTGGCGCCGGTGCAAGGGACTGAAAGGGGCGCCGCCAACGGCGTAACGGGAATGTAGCAATCTACTGCGGAAGCGGAGATCATGCGTATTACGGAAATTTGTGCATTTATATAAGCAGTGATTCCTTAGTGCTGGGAGCTGGGAAATCCAAACATAGGTCGTAATCTCCTAGTAATTGGCGGACCAGTACAGTATCCGTACGTCACCGCTCTTGGAGCGGCCAAGGACCCCTCCTCACCGTTTTGGAGGAATGCGTGTCCGCAATCCTCCATGCTAAATCCACATTCCACGTTTGAAGATCTTCCGGTGACGAAATCCATCATGGGGCATTTGCGTGTTTGCCGTCAGGGGGGGTGGTTGGTCTCTCCATAAACAAAAACTTGGTCGTCTCTGCAGTCCATACACATAAGCGCAAAAGAAATATGCCACAATCCTGGAAATCATAGCATAGGTCAAGCACTTTTGTACCGAGGCCCGATAGCACAGCAGTGTGTTGACGAGCAGTTATGTTGTCTCAACCTTTGCGCCGTGTAACAAGGGACTTACCAGGGACGACAATCAACTGAACACCAACAACTTGCTCAAACTTCCCAATTACAGCTGGATCATCAATCGGCGATGGCCTGTTTCAGATGGCATTGAAGGAATACGTAGTTGTTGGAAACTAATCAGCAATTGCTTCGCATTTGCCGGACATTAAACAATATTTGGGATTGCTCATGTTTCCTCATGTCCGCACACGGCAGGTTTATACACAATCAACATGACAACGACATGACGGCAAGCTACTTACTCGGCAGAGTTCGAGCTGGCCAAGAGAACGCAAAGAATCAGAGCAGTGGCAAGGCGATGCATGTTTATAGCCCACCAGGCCACTGCAAAGCAGCTACAGGGACTCGTTCTTGATGCAATCGTCAGCTAGTCGTACGGCTCTGCCGCATTGCCCCACAAGCACCTTACGATTGATCCACAGGCGATATGCAAGATGTCATATGCCAGTATTGCACGTATCAGCTTGGGTGGAGATCTATTTAAGTCACCTGCTACTTAGTACGTACGCGCGGTTGATCCGGTGCAGGCCAAGAGTGCTTGAATGTAAATGCTCGTCGCTCCGTACCGGACTAGCGTGAAGTGGGCCTTTGCGTCCAGCCTTACACCCGATCCCAATGTTTAATCAGGCCACACCACCTCCCAGCCACACCGCCTTGCGGCTCGTCTGCAAGTCTCAGCCTTGTCATGTCTCCGGGCTTCCTTGGATCCTCGCTTTCGCTATCTTCCCTGTCGTACTCTCGCGCCTAGTCGGCCCTGCCTTACCTCAAAATGAACACTACCTCGGTCGCGTAACTCGGCCTGAAAGGGGTGAGGATGTGCGGCAAACGCCTCCGCGCTTTTATGGGTAACGTTGCCAGCCTAGCTCTCCCCAGCGCGGCCAAACCTGATGATCGAGACACAGTCCGGCTTCTCCTCGGCAACCTTGTGCACTACTCGCCCGTCTGGTCGAAACGGGGTTTAAGGTACAGAACGTCCTGGCGGCTCCACTTTCTCCAGTCTTGGGTGAAGGCGTCCACTGCTAGGGCGTGGGGCCTCCAATAGCGATGCAAAGAAGCACCCCTGGTACTTTTGTGGAGAATTCGTCTGCAAAATGACGACCGTGGCCCGCATCCTTTCAGGCATGTCTCCGCCCACAGGCTTGTGAACCGCGTCGTCTAAGCACCCCTGCGAGCTGTCTCCGAACTTGGAGAGTATATCCGCGTATTGCTGTTGCTGTTCCGAGCGGGGATGCCAGACCAGCTGCACTCCCAGGTCCCAATCCGCGCACTTCATGTACAGCTCGTCCACTCGCTGTAGGCATAATGCCTGCCACTCTCAGCACACGGCTGGGCCGCGTC